GATAATAGTTATGAAATTTTTATTCAAACCCCTGAACTTTATTGTAAATGTCTTCGCGATATGTGATGAATTCATATATTCGGACTCGACTTATTGATTTTATGAGGCATTTCCAATTAAATATGTAATTGATTAACAAAGTCTCCTATCAAATACGGCGATCCGTAAAAATCTTAGCTTTTCTACGATTCATTAGGATCCATTAGATTCATTGACATCATACTTCAGATACGATTTTATATTATAATCTTTCCTTAAGCACGGTCAAAAGCCATCAAATATCTACTTTGATGGGTAGAATGACTATTCGATGTTTAAATAGTCTTAAAACTAAACGGTTTTCGCCTAGCATCTCCCAAATTTTAAAGTTGGCGGGCGAATCTACCTGCTGGAAGGTTCACCACACGCCCGCCAAGAGCCTCATCTCCTTACCGCGTATCCCCGTAATTCAAAGCGAAAACAATAGAGAGCGCCATCTCCTTGCTGCTCGTATACCTGTGTACTTAAACAACAACAACAACAACAACAACAACAACAACAACAACAACAACGTCGACAAATGTCAACAAACCTCGGGTTCTCAATCATTAAATTTCAATCATGTTTGTGCAGTATTATTATATTATATTTGTGTTCAGTACCTCGGAAAAAGGATCCCGCAAAAGATGGAATCTGCCGGGATTCTAAATTCATTAACAACAAACATATTAGTTTCTAATAAAGATGTAAGTGTCAGTTCTTGCGTTAGCTTCATTCATAGTATATAATGTAAGTACCTAATTAGTTGTCTAATTTTGCTTGGTGTATACCTATGGAGTAATTTTGGAGATAGTATATGATGCATTATATAATGCATTTGAATTCCCAGGTTTCACCTGACTCAATGCGTTTGCTGCTATTATCTAGAAACGTTTCGACTCATTTATCGGAGAATTGAGCGTTTCCTATCGGCCCCTCTGCAATTATGAGATTAGTCCAAGGATCCTTTAGGAACTTAAATTAATGACTCAGATGGTGCTTTTGAGCCAACTTTGAAAGAATTAAAGGCATTTTTTTCAAAATCTACAGTCCATGAGCTCTCCGTGTGGCCGAAGTGCTCTCCTCGCTACATGACGCGTAACCCGTCAATTTTTAGTTTAGTCCAAAGACCTCATCATAGAAACTTAAATTAATGAACCAGGTGGTGCTCTTATGCCAACTTTCGAAGAATTAAAGGCATTTTTTTTCAAATTTACAGTCTTTGAAAATGAGCCGTTTGTGTGATGTCGCGGAGCAAAGTGCCCTACTTTTGGGCCTCGTAATCCCTTGAATTTTGAGTTTAGTCCAAAGATCTTTTAGGAACTTAAATTAATGACCCAGGTGATGTGCTTGATGCCCACTTTTAAAGAATTAAAAGCATTTTTCAAAATTTACAGTCCCTCAAAATGAGCTTTCCGGATGATTTTGCTGAAAATGGACCTTTAACCCAATTTGACCCTAGCCCCCCAAATTTTAGCGTACCCCAAAATCGTTCGACGTGCATAAGGAGACCATAGATATGGTGTTCTGTGCGAATTTTGAATGAAATCGAACAGATAGATTCTGAGATATCGCTGTACACAGATTTGGGGGATAGCTGACGTACGGACACACATTTTTTCAAGTATGGTTATTTTGACTCCTGGGACCTTAAAACGTCTAGAAATGATGAAATTTCAACTTTTTTTTTTTTTTTTTTCTTGGAGGATGACAATACTTCCTCTCTACCCTAGGGGAGCGAGAAAGTAAAAATTAATAATAAATAATTACAACATAGTATGTTGTATAATCAATGGTATTCTTTTTCTCGTCAATTTTATTGACAAGAAAAAGAAAACCATTTCTTGAACACAATTACAAACTTAAAAATTCTCAAAACAAAAAAGAGTAAACTAAATGCGAGATCAAAAATTAGGATGATTGAAGACGAATGAGTTGATCGGATTGACTTTTTAAAATACTTTGAAAGGAACGGTAAAAGGGACATAAAATGTTTTCGAACTTTCGAATGAAATTTCTCTTTGATTATTTATTTGACCTTACATCTCCCAGACAACCGGTGCGACTCACCACGTACACTCAATCTTGAATGGTAGATTTAGGATTCAAAATAACTATTTTTAAAATAAATTCCCATAACAACCAAAATCCCAGGTGCTACTCAACACGTGCACACACTTGGAATTGATCGATTACGAGAGAATTATTTTGTCCTAAATAAATAAAATAGTATGTCTGTTTTCGAATATAAAAATCGTTAAAAAAAAAATTAGCGCATTCTGTAGGAACGGCGAAGTACCGCAGTACACCGGTCGGCCGCGCGCCACTCGAGCGCTCTCGCGGAGCGATCTGGAACCTCTTGTACCCGACTACCTAGCTGTTTAGCGTGTGCACGGTGGCTCAGTTGCTCAGACTTCTGAGAAAAAAGTCGGTTATTTATTATTTTAGCTTAATTAATTAATTAATTGTTTTCACCAAATTCACTAAAGAAAGTCGCGAGGCTAATTAATTTAGGCAAGTAGTTTAATGTAAGAAAAAAAATTATTTAATTGTATATTTAATTTATTGGAGTCGAATGAAGTTGGTCGACGCATATACGAAAGCTAGATGAAATGGATTTGATGGGGTCCCGACCGGTGCTACATCGCAGGGATCCGACCAAAATGAATTAAACGTCCAATCGGATCCTCTCTATTGCGGAGCTGTGCACGTGATGAGTAGCACGCTTGCAATGGAAAGTTCAAATTCGTTTGTAATTATTTACTTGTGTGACGCATCCATTTTCGGGTAGCTCCTATGGTAAATAATTACATGAAATCTTTATTAGTAATCCCGAATTGAATTTTTTTTTTTAACGATTTTTATATTCGAAAACGGACATACTATTTTATTTATTTAGGACAAAATAATTCTCTCGTAATCGATCAATTCCAAGTGTGTGCGCGTGTTGAGTAGCACCTGGGATTTTGGTTGTTATGGGAATTTATTTTGAAAATAGTTATTTTGAATCCTAAATCTACCATTCAAGATTGAGTGTACGTGATGAGTCGCACCGGTTGTCTGGGAGATTTAAGGTCAAATAAATAATCAAAGAGAAATTTCATTCGAAAGTTCGAAAACATTTTATGTCCCTTTTACCGTTCCTTTCAAAGTATTTTAAAAAGTCAATCCGATCAACTCATTCGTCTTCAATCATCCTAATTTTTGATCTCACATTTAGTTTACTCTTTTTTGTTTTGAGAATTTTTAAGTTTGTAATTGTGTTCAAGAAATGGTTTTCTTTTTCTTGTCAATAAAATTGACTCTAGTACGTTCTTTGCTCTCATTATTCCGTCCTGCAAAACCTGTCCTCACCTCAGGAAAATTACATTTTTGATTACGCACTTCGAGTGTGTTGGCGCCCGAACCCAGGCGTCCCGACGAGCATCTGGCACCCAAAATGTGTGGCTTGATCTGCTGAAGCTCGATCCTTTCCGGAAGGCTTGCTTTCTGACGATCAGGATCGTACGAGCTCTCGCTTTTCCTCGCCACACGGGGGTCCTCACTCGGAAAATTTTGAAAAACAAACATTTTTAGACGCAGTTTTAAGCCATTCTGAAGGAAAAATAAATGAAAAATGGTTTCACATATTCGAGTCACTTTACGTGGTTTTAAATGAGGAAAATTGTACCACAAGATCTCAGCACCACCTTCGGCGCACCAACCTGCCTTGTTCCCTTACGCACTTGTCCGGAAAGGGGCGCCCTGTCTCTAAATAAGAAAGCATGCTCTCTTTTAACAAGAAGGCGCCCTCTCACATCTTCATTGTTGCATGATTATTATTTTTTTTTTTCATTTTCTGGAAAGCAGCAGGGCGTCAGGGCGCCTGGGCGGGAGGGCGCACCGGGACATGTCCCGGTGGCCCAGTACGCCCCTGCCGCAAGTCCGCGTTGAATTTTAAGAGTAAAAATGTGGAGTGCGCCTAAAATAAATCACCGAGCTTTTCTTTCAGTGTACGTTAGGACAACTTTTTCAGCAACGTTGCGACAACGTTCCCTTAAAACGTTGCGCTCCGTGGACAAAAGTAACGTCTTCTCAACGTTGTGACAACGTTAGACAGGAACGTTCCTCGATTTTCAGCGACGTTGCTACAACGTTGCTGCAACGAAGCATTGCCGGGCGGGCTGAGTAGAGATAGGTGGTACCGTAATCGGCCGATTAACGTAATGTCAGAGCTGACCGATCAGTTTAAGAACGCATTTTGGTGATCGACGGCACCACTGATCTATTAAAGAAAAGCTCTTTAGTTCCGATTCAGCCTTGGCGGGAAGTTTCAAATAAAATGCCGATTTCCACGATCGATGCTTACAGCAGGTCCAATCGCTTTCCGCTAGAGGGAGATTGGATCAATAAAAAGTTATTTCCATTTGTCAACTGTTGACGAAATCCGTGAGCAGTTAACGAAATACGTCATCAAAACAAATTTTCGTTCCCCGTATGTGATTAAGTGGGTGTAGCGTAGCCTTTCCCGCCGATGCTCTTCACACAGTCTGGGTCCGACATCATGGGAGAATGCAATAGTGTATTTTCTTCGGAAAATATACAATACATTTCCGGGGGAGGCCCCGAGGCCCCCAAACCCCCCCCCCCCTTCAAGATGTCCGGATCCGCCTTGGTTATGAACTTCGAATGAATCCACTTCAAAAGCACGGTTACAAAAATCATTCCATATAGGTGAAGTATTATAAGTCGTGCTTTGTGAAGCGCTGACAATGCAGTTTATGTGATTGGAGTAAACGCACAAAACCCAAAGAAGATGAGGTTAAAAAAATTTTCTTATAACATTCTGTCCTTTGATTTATCTGCGTTTTTTTGTAGGAATGCGTAAATTGGGCTGCCTTTCTCTAATTATATGTTTGTAAATTAGGCTTAACCTTGTTCCCCAAGACATGGAATTTTAAATCTGTTTAAGTTTCATGATCGAAATGATGGTAATTTTGCACCTGTTTATCTTGATCAGTTTGATCATCTTTCGGGGTATTCATCTTAGCTTCGCCAGCGTTTCCATAAATTCCTGATGATCCAAAGTCGTAACAAGCAGAGAACAAACGAAGAAACTTGTAAAAACAATTTAAGCAACCACCAAAGAGGCACTTCTTATATCTCAGAACTACGGAATTCTTACTAACAAGGACTGTGCGTATCACAATTGAATGGGAATGACGTTAAAATCATACATTCTAGGCTCGATTGACGTCAGTTCTAGCGTTTATCACATGTGAATCGACCACGAGAGTGAACGTCTACCTTATGAATTTTTCGACGCGCGCACAACTGACGTGAAACGGCGAAACCGAGCTGAACCGAGCTACTGACTGCCGTTATATGCCGTGCTGGCTGGTGCTGATCGAGAACGAGCCGAGCAAAGCAACGCTGCCAGTGTTGAGCTGATCAGCGTGAAGATGAGTACGCATCCTCCTGGTGCAGCACTGCGCTGCCTCAACGCTGCGCCGCGCCACGCCGCACGATGGCTAATCGTGTCGTGTCTTCCTGCAATGTTTTCTTTTTTTCGTACAAGAATTAATTCTATTATCCAACTGATTCAGGCTTAGCATCGCGCCATGAGCATAGAGTACAATAGAGTCGCAATGTACTGGATCGCCGATGAAGCCACTTTTGGAAGCTGTTTTGTCCAGTACACGAGAGACTAGTGTGCGGCGACTAGCGATGACGCATGCACTGGGACTCGCGCTCAGCGTTCCCCACTCCCAACTCGGCTCTACAGCAGAACGTCTGTCAGGTCCACACACATTGAACCAGCTAAGTATGCCGGTAAAAAGTCTGAAATTAAGTCCATATATGAATATTATCTAGGAGTAACATACATTAATGAATTCATTATGGCTTTGAATATCTATTTCAAGCAAAATTTGCACAAATTAATATCGATGAAATTAAAAAATGTCGAAAAAACACAAGCAGTCGTTGATTTCTCCATAAGCCACCGTGTTAAAAAATGCCGGTTGGTTCACACTTGGTTTAAGTCAGAAATTAAATCCCTATATGAATATTCTCCAGGAGTAATATACATCATTGGATTCATTATGGCTTTGACTATCTAACTATAGCCAAAGTTGCAAAAATTAATGCTGAAACAAGAAAATTTATATATTTCTTTTTTGCACAATATTTGGAGCACAGTGGCCGAATGGGGGGGG